GCGCCCTTCGCAGGTGCGTCCGTGCCCTCGCGCCGCTCCGGTCGGGGTTGGAGTCGAGGCGGGGCCCCGATCTCCTGGGCGGCGACGGGGCACCTGGACCTCCTCGCCCTCGAGGCCTTCCGCGCTGCTGCTGCCTGGCCCGACGGGGATGTCATCGGAATCCTCGCCGAGGGAGGGCCCGCTGTCGGAGACCTGCCGCCAGCGGGAGTCGACAGGCCCGCTTGCGTTCACGCGGGGATGTCCGTCGACGAGTTGTTGCGCACCGCGCCCGAGTGGAACGCGTTCGCCCTGTCGCGACCGTCACCCAAGCACGATGAGATGCAGGTGATCTGGGCGAAGACGAAGCCGAGCGCCAGGCCGGACTCACCGACGGATGGCGCACCCATGCCGAGATGGATTCTCGGTGGGGCGCAGGCGGAGAGCGCGCTCTCGTTCGTTGTGTTGTTTGGCAGCCCAATTCCGGCAAGTGCCGCGTCATCGACAACGCACGGGCGAGCCTGCGCAACGACGCGGTGGAGATCTTCGAGCGCATCCACACCACGTGTCCGTGTTCGGCAGATCTTCGCGGTCCGCGAGCTTCTCCACCTCGACCCGACGGCCCAACCGTTGTGCGCGGTGCGCGACATGCAGAGGGCGTGCCGCCAGATCCCCGTGCAGGACAGCCACTCCCCGCTTTATGTCGTCGCCGTGTGGTCTCCGGCGGCGGGCGAGTGAGTCTGCGGCCACCTTCGCAGTCTGGCGTTCGGCGCAAGGGCGGCAGTCCTTGTGTTCAACTGGTTTCTTGCCATCATTGTGACCGGGGCACGGCGACTGCTAGCGATTCTTGCCGCGCACTTGTACGACGACTTCAAGACGGTCGACGTTCAACATACTGGAGCTGACTACTTCTTCGGCCTCTTGCTCAACGAGTTGGGCACGCTCATGGACCCAGACAAGCACCAGTCTCTGTCTCCCGAGGTGCGGTACCTCAGCCGCCGCGAGGACTATGGGCACGCGCGCACCCATGGCAAGGTGCACGCCTTCCTCGACTCCACCATGATCGCAGAGCTTCTGGCAGATATTGCTGCTCCCCGGTCGGGCCGGCATGCCGTCTCCCTGGCGCGCCTTCGGGGCAAGCGCAACCACGCCAGATCGCCCTTCGCGAACACGGGTCCACCTTAATGAACGTCGCGTCCGGCCGGCGCTCGGCGGGGGCTTGCAAGTGCTTTACCAGCAGGCCAGCCCCTCCCTTGTGGCCCACGCCGTACTGGTGCTCGCCAGCCGCGTCAGACAGCTGCGTTTTCCACGCTCGGGCAAGAGCCCGAAGGTCGAGGCGGCGAAGCGTGGCGCCGACCAGACGAGGGCGGACCTCCCCAGCTTCCCTTGGCAAGCGCCACCAGCTATCCTGTCTGCAAGGCCTGCAGGGTCTCCGGCGGAAGCTCTCCGAAGGCCACGAGCGCCGCGGCGCGAGCGAGCAGGACCAAGGTCTCGTCGCTGCCCGCGTTCGCCGACAGGTGCTCCAGCCGTGCGCCTAGCAAACCTGGCGCCGTGAGCCGCGGCGGGCGGCGGAGCAGCTTGCGGGCCTCTTGCTCCGCCTGCTCCCTGAGTTCCGCGGAGGGCGGCCCCAGTCGCGCCCCCAGCGGTTGCTGCCCTGGCGGAGCGTCTGGCGCTTCAGGAGGGAAGCGCGCCCCTAGCTTCTCGAGCGTCGCATCGGTCCGCGGCGCCAGTTCGGCCCCCGCTGCCGCAGCCAGGGCCCAGGCCTCTTCACCAGCGGCGGCTAGCGCGTGGACTCTGCGCGCCCGCTCCTTGTTCGTTGTCTTTCGGGTAGGTGTCCGAGGGGCTGGGCCGTCTCCCACAGCGGCTGCCCACAAGAGCTGCCAGTGGCCGCGCCACCACAGAGCCAACTGTTCTTCAAGGAGCTCTGCGCACGTTGGGCCCTCGCCCCGGGGCCGGGCCAGCAGAACCATGTCGAACAGCAGCACGAGTTTCCAGTCGGCGGCGGCGCCCCCTTGAGCGCACGCAGACTCAAGCACCTGAAGCGCCGTGTGTCGCGCATGCACCAAAGCCCCGCGAAACGATCAGGAACTTGAGCACACGTAGGAACTCCTGTGCGCAAAGCCGTGTCCCAAGACAAACGCAGCCACCAGTTCCTGTCAGGCATGTGGTGCGCCTCCAAAGACGGGTGTGTTACAGGCGTTGGTCCCGAACTTGCCGCTGCAGCGTCGGCGTTTCCAGGGCCTCCAGGGGCAGCAGCTGGAGCAGCAGCCGCTGCGGAAGCGACGGCCGCCCGCGCCTCCTCCACGTCCGCAGGGCCCGCTCGAAGCACTGGGCGGATTTCGTCGTCGACCCTCACCCTCCCAGCTACGCAGCCGACGCAAAACCAACTTTAACGAATACGGCTGCCCCACGTAGACACACGAAACTCATGGGATGCAAAAGGTATCGCGCACGCTCTGCATACAGCGGGCCGTTTCGACGCCGGCTGCAAGTCCACTGCGCACTCTCCTCACGCTCGAAGTCGTTGTTGCCTTCCCCCTGGGTCTCTGGGCAACGGCGGCGACGCGCCGACGTCAACGTCACTTCATGAGAAACGGAAATGGCCACGGAGGTTACGGCGAGCACGGTGGGGCGCCGACCCCGCCGGCCAGCCGGCCCGCTGACGCCAGCTGCTGCTGCTGCTGCCTCCTCCTCCTCCTCCTCCTCCTCCTCCTCCTCCTCCTCCTCCTCCTCCTCCTCCTCCTCCTCCTACTCTCCTCCTCCTC